TTTAGGCTAAATAGCCAAAATGGTCCCTAAGATTTGCATAACTCCTCACTTTGTTCCTTGAGATTTCAAATCAATAGAAGTGGTCCCTGAGATTGTCCATCATCCATCATTTTGGTTCTTCCATTAAAAACTTCGTTAAGTGTTCCAGAGCTCTTGGCTGGAAATTTGGGCAATTTTCAAAGCTTCGTAACTCAATCGTTTCTTAACCAAATTTGACCCATTATATATCAAAATGAAGATAGGAAAGTGTAGAATAAGATTATACCTATTTGGAAGCCCAATGATTTCCGTAGATGGCCGGAAAATAGCCTTAAAGTTTCCTGGTCCGAGGGAAAATTGGAAAACTCGCTGGAAATTGGGTAAACTTTAAACGATCATAACTTCTTCAATACTCAACGAAATCAAGTCATTCAAAAATGAAAATCATACTTATCAATGAGACAAAGAGAATGGTACCTTTTTTGACAGCTAATGCGCCGTAGTTTTTTCCGAAAAACGGCTCGAAAGTGGGTAACTTAAGACCAAGATAGCCACTTTCGAGCCATTTCCAGCCAAACCAAGGTGATTTAGCCGTCGAAAAAGGTACCATTCTCTTCATCTCGTCAAGAAGTATGATTTTTGTTTTTGAATCACTTGATTTTGTTGAGTATTGAAGAAGTTATGAATGCTTAAAGTTTACTCAGTTTCCGGTGAGTTTTCCAGTTTTCCCTCGGACTAGTCAACTTTGAGGCTATTTTTCGGCCATATCCAGAAACCATTGGGCTTCCAAATGGTATAATATTATTCTACACTTTCCTATCTTCATTTTGATATATTATGGGTTGAATTTGGTTAAGAAATGGTTGAGTTACGAACCTTTGAAAATTGCCCAAACTTCCAGCCAAGAGCTCCGAGACACTTAACGGAGTTCTGAATAGAAGGACCAAAATGATGGATGGTGGACAATCTCAGGGACCACTTCTATTGATTTGAAATCTTAGGGACCAAAGTGTTGTGTTATACAAATCTTAGGGACCATTTTGGCTATTTAGCCTAAGCTTTATAAAAACCCTTCAAAAAACCATGTAACACTTAAGACGTCGTATTCATCCTACGTGAAATTACAATTATTAACGACAAGAAGCATTCCTTAATTTCAAGTGACATTCCAATAGAAATTGCATCCAATTACTTATTTAAACATCCTAATGGCCGCGAATCTTTAAGACACAAAGATAGTTTAAACACGGTGATTAATAATTCAAAACACGCATGCATAATATCATAAACAATTAAATAAAGACTACATATTCATGCTAAGACTCAAGACATCGCCCTAGCAAAAGAAATTAGTTACGAACAATCATAAAACAAAATATTATTAAGAACACAAATAGAAAACACCTTGTAGGTAAAAAGTCTAAAATTCTCCAAAATAATGCATTTGTAACCCTAATGGCTAAAAAGCCTTATTTATAAGAAAAACCAATGAAAATGGCTTTAAAACTTTGAATGTTAACAAAAAACCAAGTGATAAGTTTATTTAATAGTTATGACAAAGCCCAACATCAAATCAGGACTAGCCCAAGGAATATAATTTATTAAGCTTCCAATTTTAACGCTGACGTCAAGTCTTGTCGTTTATTTGGTCTGTTTCACTTCAGATGGAGAACGGAAGGTCTATAGATCTCCGATCATTTATAAGAAAAACTAATGAAAATGACTTTAAAACTTTGAATGTTAACAAAAAACCAAGTGATAAGTTTATTTAATAGTTAGAGCAGTTTCAGCGTGGGAACCTTCCCCCCAGGCAATACACTATGCTATCCACCCAGTGAACAGTAATTGCCTTTAATGAACAGTGATCGCCTTTTGCATCTCCACTGTTGCACTTCAATAGCCCTGACAATAGGCAATAAAATATTAGTATTTTTTTTATTTATAAAATAATACAAAATAATTTTATTTGTAATTTCGGATAAGATTTTTAATCGTTCTCGTTGCGCCACGTGTCATTATCCGAAAAGTTATAAAATAATACAAAATAATTGTGGTGTAATTTCGGATAAGATTTTTAATTGTTCTTGTTGCATCACTTGTCATAAAATCTGAAAAGACAATCATTGGTGATGGATTTCCGATAAGATTTTTAATCGTACTCGTTGCGCCACGTGTCATGATCCGAAAATACAATTATTGGTGATTGATTTCCGACAAGATTATTAACCAATCATGTCTCGCCACTTGTCATAATTTGTTTACAATCTTGAGGATAGATTTCCATCAGATTTTTAAACGAATGATGGCATGCCACGTGGCATTATCTACAACCAAATCCTTTATGAATCCTCCATATAATCCACCATCCATCCTCACAAATCTCACACCAATTTTCTCAAGATCTTTATCATTATTCATAGTTTATGCTTCCTTGTTCACCAAAATCTCTATCATTATTCATAGTTTCTACTTGTTTCTTACAATGTCTTCTTCTTCCTCAAGGATGATGTGGGAACTCGATGAGCAAAAGGAATGATTGTTTAACCAATCAGAAGGAATGTTCAATCTCCAGGTGGCCCAAAATGAGAAGGAAGAGTATGAGGAGCGTAGAAGGAGAGATGACGAAGCAAGAATGGCAAGCGCCTCACATTCTCGTTGAGTCATCCAAGCTGTGGGTCAGATCTGGAGGCCCAGCTGTTTCGGAAACCTTGATAGAAGCAGGCAACAACAAGGTACAAAACTCTTGGACGATTATTTTGTCCGTAATAGTGCATTCCTTGGTGGCTTATTTGTTCCTTATTTTGTCACATCAGAAAAATAAAGGGGGTAGGATTTCTAGCTATTTGCTTCGCTTGGACTTTATGGCTATGTTTGCTACACCGCATTAGTTTGCCGAATTGAGCTCTTATAAGTTAGTCTAAGTTGTATCAAACAGGGTGCTATTTAGCAATCTCACTAAGTGGGACTCATGCCTCACCTAGTCTCCTTATTTTGACCTTGTTAAAATGAGGGCTTGAACTAAAACCAACCCAAGCGAACACGCCCTATAGGTTTTTTAAATAAAATAGAGCTTACTGTTTATAAAATAGTGTTGGATTACCCATTCTTTTTTGTTTCACTTGATGCACTTTTTTTTGTTGGCTGTGAAAATGGATAGGTAGTTCCTCTTGTTTTGAAATTAAGGATGTTGGTAACCTACTTATTACTTTGGTTGCTAATTGATTAGTTTCAAATGCAAGAAATGATTAGTTTCTAATGTTATAATTTTATGGTTCAAAAAGTGTATAAATGTCGCAGTTGATCACTCGTCGTCGGAGTGTGACCAATGAGCTTCCCGCATTATCAGCATCTACTGCTTTAGGTCAAACACCGCAAAGGTCGATGCGTTAAAGGAGGAAGTGATAACCCTAAAGGGTCAGCTTGCGGTCCAAGGCCAGCAAATAAGGGCACAGGGCGAGGAGCTGAAGGCCTGTGTTGGGCACTTGAGAGACCTTGTACGAGCCATATAGATGATTGGCATCCAAATCTCGCTACCAGTACCTGATCTTGCTCCACCTTCGACCTCCGAGCCACTTCACCTAGAAGACTACTTGTAATTTTTTCTTTTTGTTCGGACATCTTGTATGTACATTTTCATATATTTTATAATTAAATACTTTTCTTTGGTTAATTAATTATTGTTTAGAATTTAATTACAATATTATTAAAATTAAAAAAAATATTTTTGACCAAAACCAAAAGTGATCTAATCCATTTTGCACGACGTAGGTTGCGTTGTGCAAACTTTGTGCGACTCAGCCTACGTCACGCAAAAGGTCTTTGCGCGACATAGGTATCTTCTTCGTTGTGCAAACCCTTTTGTCAATGCCTTGGCGCGACGGTTAGCACACGACCAAGGTCCGTTGTGCAAAATTTTGCGCGACGCTTTTTGACTTTGCGTGACGAAGGACCTATATCGCGCAAAGTGTTTTTTGTATTAGTGCGAAACAAGTTCAAAGAAGTTTAATGGCAGAAAACCGGCGAAAAAAGTGTCTGGGAAAAAAAAAAAAAAAAAAAAACCAAAACATAAAACTGTTTCTGGAGAACCCAAAACATAACATTGTTTCTGGAAGAAAAAAAAAATCAGATACAATGTTTGTTTTGTCTGTGCATAAACAAACACTATATTTGGAAAGAAAAGAACCAAAATTCAGAAACAGTGACTTAAATTTCAGAAACAGTGACTTAAATTTTAGAAACAATGACTTATATTCCAGAAACAGTCTATATTTTAACCTTGACTGTTTCTTTTCTTTCATGCATCAGTTAATTATATTTAAGAAACATGATGCTTATTTTGCTTTGAATCCAAATACGGTGAATTTCATTATTTCTTTTCTAGCTTACATTTAAGAAACAATGTGTATTTCACTTGGATCCAGAAACAATGACCTAGATTCCATAAACAGTAACTTAGATTCCAGAAACAGTTTATTTTTACAGTCCAGAATCAATGACCCGTCGTTATTATTGAATAGCATGTAAATCTCAAATTTATTTTCTGAAGAAGAAACAAACATGAACTCCACTAACAAAGAAAATATGAAAAACAGTACCTCGAATACACTATGAATAATAGCAACGATCACATTTCAACGAAATAATAGAAAATATAAATTAGATAGCATGAGGATCCATATTTTGTTCAAAGAAAAAGAAAAAGGTCTGCAAAACAACGATGAACTCCATTAATGAAGAAAATATGGAACTCAACCTAAAAAAGTTAGGGGTAAATCAACAAAATCATAATTTATTATAGGTAGGCCATTTTAAGTTGGACTACTATAATATAGGCCTTGTACTACTCATTAAACAAAACTTATAACATGATTTTTGATTAAAACTAAAATTTTTAAGCCCTTTTGATTTAATTTTTTTTTTTAACTGTTTAGTTTTTAGTTTTGTCTAATTTTTGTGGTCTGCTTTATAGGGTTTCGTTACCTTTCATTGCAGTGGACGGATACCTAAAGTAGCTTTGATGGCACGATCTTACCTACCACGCAAGGTTTCAGAGATAGTTTCAATTTGGAGAAATGACCTGAACAAGGTTAGACTTTTGCAGTGTTTTTCTTGATTCATGAACACGATGCTTTTCTTTCAAGTGAAATGTATATATGAGATGTAGAAGTCATACCAAAGGAAAATTGTTATGTCTTCTACTTTATCGACCAATTGAATTGAAACAACGAAAGATTTTTGCATATATTTGGCTATTCCAAGTATTTTTAATTTTGTACTTTTAATTTGCAATATGGCAGGTCAATAAAAAAGCTGCAGAATCATTGGCCGATCCGCAAGTGTGTCCTAATTTGTTTGAGGACTGGTAGGTTTCTCTTGCCCTTGAGTCTAAAGATGCAAAAAATAGGTGTCCACCCTTCATTTCACTGTTCAGCATCAGGGCCATGAAAAAATCTACTTTTTAGCGCTGCAGTAGATATGACCATAATTACTGACTGGCAAGAAATTTTGCTTATTTGTTGGATGATTGTGGATTGCTTTGTTGTCTTTTGCAGGGGCATTCATCCTCCTGTTGACGTGAGATGTGAACGAACATTCGTCTTTCTATTTTTTTGGGCTTTTTCTAACCCATAAATTTCTTTGAGTCAACCATATAGTCCCAGCTTGCAACTTATGCTGTGTGGTATTATTGTCTGAAAAATTAAGTATGCATGTATATTTTATGTGTGTGCGCGTGCACCCTCTGCATGATGTTAATCTCTGTGGGTCATCTATATATATATGTAGACATATCTGTGTGTGTGTGTGGAATGCAACATATTGGATTTAGGTTATATTGTGCATAGTTTTATTGTCTGTTGTTATCTGCGCTATACCATTTCTATGCAGGCTCTGAAAGTTATTCATGAGATTTATAAGCATTTTCCATAATTTAAGCTGTCTGTTTTGGGTTCTTTTTCATTAGGTCATTAGCTACTGAATGGGAGAAATGAGTACCATGCCACTGATTTTGGTTCTTTAATAATTTTCTGATTTTGGCGTTTTGCAGGTAGTGTTGATGTACTGATTTTCTGGGATTTTTTTGTCCTTGCAGGATTTTTGGTCTTTGAAATGGGTACATGTTGTTTTAACGTTTTGGTTCTCGTGTGTTCCGCTCTTCGTTGCTTCGTGATTCTGATTTTTCAGTGTTGGGTAATGGAAATTTGTAAAAATAGTCGTAGTTTTTTGAGAAAGTTGGCATTTTTAGTTATATTTTCTGTTTAATCCCAACTGTGAGATTGGAAAATAATTGAAATGATGGTTTGTATAAAAACCCTCTCAATTTTTTTTCTGGGATTTAAAAGCATCTTTTCCCGATTGTTTACAAGGGTTATGTTCTCTATAATTGGTTCACCTAATTTTGATTAGTTTTAAGTTTTGTCTTCTGTGCTGTACTGAGAGATTTCTGTTGGCCTTTCGGATTTCGGCATGGTAATGTTCACTATTTGTCTAATTAGATTGCATATGGCTTCGATTCTTTATTTAATTGTTCTGTTTGTGTTCGGGAGTGATGATCTAAATTTTATATGTTTGGAATTATT